GTCCATGACGTGCCTGTGTCGAGGTTGTCCGTGAAAGGGTTGATGAACGGCTCCACTGCTGGTAGGAGAGCGGCAGGTGCGCCAGCGAACCAATGCTGCCCGGCATCCAGAATATGTTGCCGATAGCTCGGGTGCATGACTCTCAAGTTCTGATCTGAGTAAGGAAACGGGCGAAGAGACCGCAAAGCGTCCGCGTCCAAAGCAAACATACGTGGCACTGCCTCAAAGGCGGTGGCCACGATAGACTGCACCCAAGCCCAAAGGCGAGACTCCAGTAAAGGCAACTGAGTAGCAAACCGACGCAGCAAGGTCTGCGGACTGTGGAACCCATAACAGAAAAGCAAGAAGTGAATGTGTAGGCTTCCGCGTTGCTGTGGCTCAATGGATCCAAAAGCGCCTGATAAAGGTGTCAAAATGCCACGGACCGTGGACGAAGCAATGCCATCTGGCTCCAGATGGGTTGCAGAAGCGTTGACATCCAGCAGTATCTCCAAAAAGAGGCGCACATGTAGGTGGAAAGCTTGCACAGCTGCAGCCGGGTCTTGCGCCACGATGCGCCAGAGGTTTACGTCTTGCAAGGCAAGACGAAGGCTGGAGTCCAAACGGGCTGGATCGAGGACATGTAGATCTGTTGATAAAGCAAATTTCCAAGTATAAGGACGCAAGACGTCAGCTGGGTTCAAGGTCAAAAAAACACAGGGGGAGCCAAGATACTTGGTCATGGACGCCAATTGTTGGCGCATGACTCGCCGAGCCGCATCTGTGCATGGCACGGTCCCCTGAACCGTTTGCAAGAGGCGGAGGATGGTCTTCATGGCTGCAGCAACGTCATTGGAACGCAGCGCCTCGGGGATAGAGCCTTTCCTGGGAAGAGGGACAATGAGTGGCCCGCCCAGCACAGGTCAAAATAAACCACTTCCAAAATGTTCGGAAGGAAACAAAAAAGCTAGGAAGGAAAAAAAAGACAAGACAGCAACCAAAAGGCTCTCCAAGAGTGGCAGCAACTGCAGCAAAATCGACAGCGTGTAAGTTACAGAAAGATGGAACAGCGGCCTGGAAGCTGGGAGAGGCGATTTTCACGCGAACAGCTCGTAGAAGGCGGCGCCGATGCAAGACAGAAAAGAGAACTGCGACAAAGTCGAGATCCAAGCGCCAATGCATCTCTGGGGCACGATCCCGGCGAAGAAGAAGATGAGCTGCCCAGGCATGGTCCGAAAGGAAGGACGTTCGATACTGGCCATCAATACCGTCCCCGTATGGAAACAGACACGGAAAACAAAGGCTCCAAAATGAAGGATGGTAACTATCCAATGGCTGATCTGCATGCGGAAGGAAGGCATAAACTTTCGTCGGATGTTCTTCGGCGGCCTGCAGAGCTGGATGTCTAGCGCTGTGCCCTAGGCGTTGCATGGCTTCTTGCGCCAAGCGAAAGTGCGCCGTCGCCGCTTCATAGTCTGTGCTGGCTGTGCGGTCGAAGCGCTCACAGGCAAGGAGAGCCGTATTCCAGAGCTGAATTGGATCGATTGAGTCGGTTCCTGGCTCGAGGACTGCTGCGTTTACACTGCCTAAGGTGCTGGAACCTTCCTCAGTGGCATCGGCAGGGCCAACCTCCCGCTGCAAGGCAACATCGGTGCGTTGAGCTTGTTGGAGCCATGCTTCTGGAACTCCGTCCTCGGGCAGTTGCTGCAATGCTTCCAGGTCAATGGAGAGATCACAGTAAAACGGGTTGTGTAGGACTAGCCACGACAGAGCCCGGTGTACCACAGCACGTCGGACAATAAATTCGCGACAAAAGCGAAGATCCGAGTGCAGCAGGTTGGTGAAAAAAATGCTCAGGTATTCAGCCACGTGTTCGGGGGTTGTTGGAAGCGCACGCAAGACGGTGATGCCATTCTGTGGAAAAGCAATCGCGCTTGCTGTCCCGAAGAGGCCTGCTTGCCGCGCAGCAGGGTCGCCAGAATGCACGAGCTGTCGCAGGCGGCGCAGAGGAAAGCCACGAGCGATGAACATTTGCTCTCCCAAAGACAAGCCTTGTAACTCCTTTGGGGGCTTCAAGCAAACATTGTTGTTAGCCAACGCAGCCGGTGGTAGTCGTGGGGGTTGTCGCTTCACCAGTGAGAAGCAAGTAGTGCAGCAAGGACAACGTAGTGCACATACAGGATCTGCGGCAGCGGCCTCCCAATCTTTGAGCTTGTCAGAGGGAATGTAGAGCAGCCAGGCGTCCTGGGCAACTACACCAGTGAGAGAACGGCGGAGCGAACCTTAAAGAGAAGATATGTTGGACGTGTATATATGCATGACCTTTAGGAGATATATCAAAAGAAAAGAAATGATGAATGAAGCTGTGAGCAGCATCGAGTCCAGGTGTAGCTAGTTCTGCCGGTAGAAGAACAGCCGCGCTCTGCAAATGTTCATAAGTCAGCCCGACATAGCCGACCGGCAATTCCTCTTCGAACGACTGGGCCCAGTTTTCTAGGAAGCGTCGAGCTGACAACCAACTGTGAAAAAAAGCAGCGGTGTCTGCAGTGTCACGGAAGTCTACCAGAAAAGTTTCTTCAGTTGGAGACGCAGCGGAACAAAAGCCACAAAAAAGGTTGGGCTGCAACAGCTGCTCGAACTCGGTGCGGTATGCGGCCATGTGACCTGTCAGACTTGCTGTCGATACAGCATTCGGCCAAGCATCCGCACACCTGGCGAGCAAAGGAGCACGCCCTTCTCGCGTGGGATGGTCCGCACGCAGGTGCAGGAGCATTGCATTGGCATCGCTGCATTGTCTGTTGCAGAGCGGACATACCACCTGGCCAACAGGCCCACGGGGCTGCTCGCAATCAGATGGATATGGGCAAGGCTCCCGCGCAGTGACGGCACATGCGTTTGCCAAAGCGGCTCGACGAGACTCAGGGCCGAGGCAACGAAACTGCCATTGAGCGGCTGGATGGGGCAGGCACGCATCAAAGGCAGTCAAGAAGTGAGCCAGGTCCATGGGTGGCCGAGCACGCAAAAAATGCAGCAACTCAGCAGCAGTAATCAAAGAATGCGTAGGTAGCACCCGTCGGAAAGGTTCTCCGCGATAGCGGTCGACCCAGGTGATCTCCGTGCAGCTGACAGCAACAGCCTGCTGGATATGATCCCAAAAGACGGAGAACTCCTGTGGAGTCCAGACCTGCTGCTGAAATGCAACGGTGCGCTGCAAAGTGGTAGTCAAATTTGCAAAGAAAGCATGCGTGTCCTTACCTGTCCGTAACGATGTGTTCGCTTACAGCCATTTTGATTACTGTACTTCGGCTCAATCAGCATTCAAGCCGGTATATACAGGCCAATTTACGGAGATTCATTTGACAAGCTAAACTGACTGAGTAGACACTTGCATTCAATTAAAAACATTGCTACTTCCGCGTGGGTCAGGGTGATGACAGTCCGTGTTCAGAAGAGAAGTTTATGGCTGCGGAAACAGCGCCGTTGATGATTTGTCGGTTTGGCCACCAGGCGTATACTACCAAACTACAGTCATTCTGTCTGATTAGACAATTGTTCGATCTGACCCAATTGCACTTGGACAATCACAGAACATAGAAACAAGATTGATCTGTCCGATGACCCTGAATTTATGTAACTATAGATATATAAATCAAAGTACTACAAATTTGTGTCAAATGATGTCTGCAACGTAAGATGGAGAGGCAAACGAGGTCGCCTACGAAGCAATGCCATAAAATTTCTCGATACTCGCATTGCTGCAAACTGGTTTCCAGAGACTGCTGCAGGAGCCGCCGGGCATTGACTGCCTCGCGGTATTCCCGCAACTGTATTTTCCGGCGCAAGAAAGTGAAAACTTGCAGAAAATATTCCTCCTGTGGAATGCTGCCTTTATGGAAACGGACACGGGCTTTGCCGTGGAGATAAATCTGAGCAGATGGAATCGAAAACAGGGCGGTCCCTCGCGGGTCGACGAAACTGATCCGCAAAGCGTGCAGGAGAAACTCCAAATCAGGGATTTCCCAAGCCTCTGTCCGCATTTCTGATTGCAACTGTAAAAAAGTAAGCGCGGCAGACACCACGGCACCACATCGAGGATGTTCACACCGAAAATCAAACAGCTTCTTTCGATATCGGATTCGATATCGGGGCATAGCTCTGCCAAGGTATTCCCCGCGAATCGCGACTCAAGAAGACATTGCTTCGGAAGGCTGCGGGCCCTTGTCGTATGGCTATGCCTCTCCCTGGAAAGAGTAATAAGATTGGTTACTCGCATAGGAGTCGTTTCACCTTTACTTAGGTTCACCCGTACCAAGAAGCAAGACCCAGGTTGCTCAAAAACTCCGAGACGAGTCCTTCAGTGAAACAAAGTACAAAACAACAAAGCTCCATAGCTGCGCACGGGTACCCTCAAAACTTCACATGATGTCTGTGTCTTGGTGTCTGTGCCTTCTCTGTCTCAGCTGCATTTGTCCGAGCCTGCCTTCGCAATTCCAGCACAAACAAAGAAAACCGACACAAAACGCATAGTCCAATAAAGGCACTCGAATTCAGGGACGGAGGATCAAAATTGTCGTTTCGATAAATGCGTCGAAACAGGAGACTGCCACCTGCCTCTTCTTTTTCTCAAGGCCAGCTTGCCTGCCTTGCATCAGGAAACGCGCATTTTTGCACACGACTTTGCTTCAACTACTCGCACAAGCTGTCGGTGCACGAAAGAAAGCATGGCAGCATTGAGCTCATCTAATGACTGTTGGTTCGTAAGTTTGAGGAGCAATGAGGGGCGTCCAAAGGATGTGCTGAAGTCATCACAACTCCTTTGCAGGAAAGCGTGAAAATCATCTGTCAGCTTGTCCGAAAAACCGTTACCGGCAGTACAATATTTTGATTCCGTGCGGCAGCATCCACCGCGCGCCACCTTAGGAGAGCCCTCAGATTCACTGTGCTTAGAGGTGCCTCTACCTAAGCAAAGCCAGCTTGCGGTCTTCCGACACTGCGACATAGTCAGAGTCGGAGTGCCAAGCCAGGCAACTCTGTACAAAGACTCTGTCCATAAGCTGTGAAAGCACAGTCAATTCCCATACTTCACACAACCACGTCCGGGTACCAGGAGTGGGAACCTCTCAGCAAGCTGTGGCGTGCCCGACCAAACTGCGAGGTCTGCCATGGTCGTCGGCCCCTCTAACCAAAAGATTGTCTGGGGTATCTTTTCCAGCCATGTCAGGAGCTCTTCCTTTGGAAAGGCCTCGGTGAAGCGCACAAACTCGGCCTCGGTGCCTTTTTCGCACTCTTGTTTGGTAACACGGTGTCGGTAGCCACACTGGAAGCCGCCCAACAAATTCCTGCGTCTCCACAAGTTTCCAGCCAAAACAACTTGCAATTTGTCGTGGTCCTGGTGAACCTCCAAGATGGGGCGGCGAAAATCCGGAAGGACAATGTTGTGCAACTGCAGCGCAGGATGATGTTTCTCACCAACGGTAGAATGCGCAAATTGCGCCTCAGCCAACCACTCGGTCAAATCGACGCTGGAAGCATTGTGGTAGGTCATGGAGGCCGGCAAGCCGACGAGGTCAGTTTGCTGACTTGCCCATAACATGTAAATTTCCAGCAATGTTAAACCTTGGGCGCAGTCCCCAGCGCAAGTCATGCACTTGCTGTAAAGCGGCGGTCCGCCAACCTTGCAAACAACGAAGAACTCTTCCCGCAATCGGGTGTCATTCAAGCCTTCTTGCGCCACGTACCTTTCCCAGCGCGCCTTGTGACCACGTAGCAAGGGCGATTGGGGATCTTCACACGTCCACATCAGGCCAGTTGCAGTCAGCTCCGCCGGGAAAGACTCAGAGAGAAGCTCCGCTGCGCCGAGGTCCCAGATGCCAACGTGAATATGAAGCCCTTGTCTTGCGCCGGTGCCGTGGCCCAAAAGCCCACCAGCAGGGGCTGCTTGCACCCGCTGTGGCCGCAAAACTCGCTTCTTCGGGCTCGCCTTGCACGAAATAGGCAGAGAACATGTTGCACAAGAAATGGCATGAGCCCTAAAACACCCACTGGCCTGGCTCCCACACGGATTCGCTTGAGGAGGCCCAGCTGATCCAACTCGAAGAGGAGACGAAGGTCCTGCTGTACGTTAGCCACAAGATCTGGGCGCTTGTCATACGTAGTCGATCGCCACGAAAAGAAAACCGAGCACAGGCCTAAGGCCGGAGCCGAAGTGGATACGACTGAAGGCACTGCGGGAACCTGATGGCACTGGAGTCGACCAGAGCCGTTTCTAAGTGCATGAAGGATGGAATCGGCAATCGCCTGCACAGTAGGTGGAACTTCCAATGCTTTCTCGGGTCCTGAGTGGGAGCAGGCATGAACATGTTCCGCAGCATGACCGCCACGAAAAGAAAACCGAGCACGGGCCTAAAGCCGGAGCCAAGGTGGAGAGAGCTGAAGGCCCTGCGGGAACCTAATGGCAATGACAAGTTGACCAGAGCCGTTTCTAAGTGCAAGAAGGATGGAATCGGCAATCGCCTTCGCAGCAGGTGGAACTTCCACAGATTTCTCAGGACCTGGGTGGGAACAGGCATCGACACGTTCTGCGGGGAGGCTTCAGAAGTGGGAGGTCGTGGGCAAAAGAAAACAGCTGGTTACGCAGCCGTGCCTTCG